GTACCGAAAATTCTGCAGAATCGCGCGCAAAAGTTCTCACTATTAATCTTGTTAAAAACATGGCTAAGCTCTGCCGTGAACTTCACAGAGGGCTGTACCAAATGCGTAATAATTAGTGTGACTCGAAAACTGTTTGATAGGTGGACATGAATACTGTAAACAAGCTGCTCGAAGAAGGAAGGTGTATCAGAGCTCGTAAAAAAAAGAGTTCTCTAAAACGAAACAGCGCTGGTATTACAGAATAGAGACCATTCCACAAAAGGGGACATTTTGGTGTAGTACTTCACGCCGACTACCGTAATCCCAATTTTCAAAGGGAAGGAAGCAGGGTCAACCGTCCGTTCGAACTGTTCGAACGGGGGGTCGCATTTGTGTTCTGGGAGGGGAGAGGGGTCGCATTGGTCGCATTGCGCGCTTTGGTGATCAGGGGCGCAGGGCATAGGTGCGTGCGAAAAAAGTTGCCGTTTCACTGGTTGTATATACCCCCCCCCCTCGACGGCTATTTTTGGGGAAAAAGTGGGTGGAGTTTCGGAGTTTTAGGTAGGTTTTGGGCTGTGTCAACTGGTCTCAGAATCAAATACTATAGAAGAGGGAGAGGTCGCGGTGGAGGAAGGCTGGTTGTATTGGGGGGTCGCAACTGTGTGTTGGGAGGGGTCGCAACTGGACCCTCTCGAGAGGGAGGGGGTCGCAAAAATCCCGAAAATGTTCGAACGTGACGGTTGACCCTGGAAGGAAGTTCTGAGGTGGATGAAGCAATTCATCTATACAAAAAGGAAACAAGGTAGGATAACTTTTATGATTTTTGACTTGTTTTGTTTGTTAACTGCTGTTTTTGGCCGCAGTTCGCCTTGCGAATGTTTCACAAGAATGCTGGGTTGTGAACAAAACTTTCGCCCCTCTACACCAAAATGAATACGTATATACTTGTATACCATGAAAGCTGAGTTGGGATGAAATGGTGCCCCGGTAGCGTAACTGGTAGCGCACTTGCCCGGAAAGCGAGAGGTGCGGGTTCTAGTCCCGCCTGGGGCGAAAGTTTTGTTCACAACCCAGCATTCTTGTGAAACTTTTATAAATGTTCAAATAAACAAAAAAGTTTGTGAGGGTTTTAGAAATGTTTGAGCACTCTACACCAAAATGAATCCTCTAACTGGAACAAAGCGTAATGGAGCGAAATGAAAAACTGTAAGGTCGTGCCGAAGAGAAACACCACTGTATGCTTGACCACGACATCAAATAGAAAGACAAAGAACATACCACCAGACCACGATGACTGTCCAAAGAATCTTGTGGTAGCCGGATTCGAAGAGAAGTGGTGTATCCAATACGATGTAATGACAGCCAAATAGTAAATATTTGAGCATTTGTTTGAACATCTCCCATCGAATAGCCGGATGCAAAATCGAGTTCATTTTTCGTCGTTTCTGCAAACACAAACTTGCTGTACGGTAAGCTCCCTATTCCCTCGAGTGCGAAGTGAACACAGTTTTGCCGCACGCGATCGCAGCGGGTCCTCGTGGAGTGGCTGTGGCCTATTTCTACTTTTTTCTTTCAAATTCTTTAGCAACTTGACCATTATTACGTAATGTGAATAACTGTGGATGGATGTAGCTCTGGGCTGTTGGGCAAAATTACGGAAGCTGCGAGGCATCGCGAAATTCCTCGATTTTTTCGAGTTCTTACTCGATCATGTTGTTGTGTGCATTTTCCGACTTCTGTGTTTTGTTTTTCGACTTTCGACCTCCACAAATACATCAAAAAAGCGGAAGTTCGAAATAATGAAGTATCAACTTCATAGCACCACTGAACGGGACCGATAAGGTGTTCTGGCCCACTATTTACAGAAGCCTCCCAAAGTGAACAAGGTAGTGATGTACAGTACCATATGGAGGATTAGAAAATTCGAAAGCCTTTCTGAACGTGCCGTATGTGATAAGTCTGCTACTGCCGCTGCCTGAGTCCATTTCAGGGACGTTTGCCACCGTTTTGTCACACTTGAAACGGTTTATTCTGCTACGTGGCCAAAGATATCAGTATCAAGTACAACATCTTGAGGGTAATTTAACTTGCTCGACTTCAAAATTAGCACAAGCGTTCGAATAAGATACACAGATTCCTACTCGTAAAGCCATGAGACTCCTGAATTGGTGCAAAACCAAATTTCGAAACTTGAGCAGGTTCAACAAGTCGCCTTCTTACTTGGAGGATCGAAGCTTACTCGAAAATTGTGCCTTTGAAGTGCTGAGCTCGAATCAACAAAAGTCGCTAAGGAACCCGAAATTATAGCTCGCTACTGGAATGACCTGAGACCTGAAGACAACTGTTTGCGCGCCATAATGGATGCCTCTCCCAAGCGAGTCAGAGCCATTCATCAAAAACTTTTGAAGGGAGAATTTGAATGTGAATGCTGAATATTGTTTTTTTTTATCAATAATGAATTGTTGTTTACAGCTAGGATTCGAACTCATCTAATATTCGCTAGATACGAGCTTTTTTTCTAGTTTCCGTAATTTGTGCTCACTCGTACTATCCTTCCACGGCCAGAAGCGGGGAAGAAATTACTTTGAATTTAT